GTCTGTGTCGTAACACAATTTTCGGTCAGATTCCGCGGTGGTGGCCGGAATCTGGCACTGTGGGTGGGGGGGTGTTTTTGTTATTTTATAAATTTTATATATTGGGGCATTTAGTCAAATTAGCAAACTTGGGGTTTTTAGAAATTTTTAAATTTATAAAAAACTAAAAATTAAACTTTCAGGGTATTTTAGTCTTTTCACTATTATCAAACGAAAATCATTAACAGAACATGACGGAAGGTACCCATTTATCGTTTCAAAATCTTTTGGGTATCAACTTATCGTTTCGACAAACATTGAGTATGTATAAGTCGTTCTCCCTAATCCTGGAGTTTATTTAAATTATTATTTTTTATGTTTTAAAGTAAGTGTCTAGAGAGCAATTAGGTAATATTTATAATATTAAAAGATCGAACTGTGTTGTTAGGGGCCGGACCATTGTCACTGACGATCGCTGGGACGTGTCTGGATACAGTATGGCATCAGAATGATCAGCATGAACCAATCTATCTTATGACGGTGGAATCATCAACAAATATTGCAGCGTTCGGTAACAGGAGGCAAGGATATATTGGTCTCCTCTTGCGACCAAATGAACGATGCTTTGTTGTGCTTCCACCGACGTCAAATAAATTGGCTTGCGTCACCCATGACTAATAATAATGTCACTAACAGTGATTTTAAATGAATAATAATATAAAAGTTAACTCAATGAATACTCAACGACTATAAAATAACTATATATCAATTAAGAGTATATCGTATCAGTTTGTACATGTAGAAATTAGTTACGCCACCAACTACAATTGAAATTAAACTTTGAATTATATACCATAAAACCTCTCTATAATATAATGGTGGAGTCAAACTAATTTTATTGTATGAAAAAGTTATAATTTAATAGGGATATAGTTCAAAAATTATTATTTGACTTAATTATCCTTAAAGCAAGTGGTATAGAGATAAAGTAGATTACCCTTAATAGTTAATTAATGAAAAAGTGTCAAATCCAATGTATAGAAATTGATAAAAAAGATAGTCATAGTTTCAAAAAACTAGTATTAGTATTATGTAGTGTTACGAATAGCAAAGTAATCTGAAAAGTTAAAATTTTGTATTTTCTTTAATGTTTTTCTCTCAATATAATTCCATAAATACATTGTACTTAACACAATCCATGCATATTTAACCAATTCAAGTGATATATTTCTTCTTCCTCTAGCAAATCAACATGCCACCCAAAGTTAATACACGAACTCATAACATATATTTTTTGCAATATAGATAATTATTACTTATGGAGACAAATTTTTTAGGACCTATAAAATTATAACTTATTACAATGTGAGTTTATTCTCATTTATGACTGGTCCAAATTGGGACCATGATTTTTTACGACTGCACGAAGATTATTCTTATATAAAATATCCTTATTGAGATGTTTTGTTTATTTTAAATAAGTATTGCGAAATTCGTCTTCATTATAAGTCTTAATCTTAATAACTGCATAAGTATTATGCAGTGGCGAAGTAGGAATTCAAGTGGGGGAGGCGAAATTCTAAAATGATAAAATTCATTTTTTTTATAATAATAAATATAGAAACTTTAATAGTTGTTCTTAATATTCTATTTAATACAATTATAAGTTTCCAAATATGGTAAAACAATAAAAGAAAATGGTAAACATAGGAAATTAGTAAAAAGTCCTAATTTTCTAAAGGTAAATTAAACTAAAGAAATTAAGTAGAATATCATTCATGAAGTAATAAAGAGTTTAAGCTGTCTCAAAACTTTAATTTTTTAAGTTTGTTAAAAAATTGTTTTATTTATTTATAATCTAAATTTTCAATTAGTTGTTTAGAGCTTAATTATTGGGTTGGTAATTAATGTGATTGGTGGGTCCTATTTATAAATCAAAATTTCCATTTAGTTTATTTTTAGACTTAACATACTTGGGTAAAAGTTGGGAGGTAAGTAATTTTTGCAGGTTGGGGACCTTGGGTTTGATTATTTGAGTACATTTAGATCCCATACTTTGTAGATTGAAATTATATATAAAGTATTGGGATCTAAATGTAATAACTTTCAAAAACATTTAAAGCGTAGAATATAGAAATTTATGTCATCACTCCTTGAGTAATTCTTACGGCTTATACTGTACATAGGATAGGATAAAATACATTTAAATGGTTGTGATTAAATTTAGCAGGAATCATGACTAAATCATAGAAATGACATAAGTTAGGTTATTTCTAAAGAGAAAATTCTGATTTTCAAGCAAAGTAGCAAACTACGCAACCATGAAATATTTACTAGTGATCAGTAAAAAAGAAAAATGCTCTTTTCACAAATAAAAAGAAAATAAATATTCTTGATATATATTCAATTGAGCGTTTAATTTTGGATTTTTATTTTGGTCCAAATGTCATATTTCAAAGTTTTGGGGTTTAATTTTGCTCAATCGACCCAATGGTTGTCCTTTTCGGCATCTGAATTGGGCAAAAGCCAATATTTGGGCTCTATAATCTGATCGACTGAATTGAATCTGGTTGACCAGCATGGTAGTTGAATTTTCCCAAAACTAGTGCCCCACGTGGGCGCCACGTAGGTCTCACGTCAAATTCTATGACCAGGTTCAAGACGATCGATCAGATTCTATGATTTTCAATGCATTTTAACATTCTAAAACTTGCATATACAAAACCAAGTGTTTAGATAATTTTGGAGAGCTTTCACTTGCAAATCTCATTTTCTACCACATACCCTTGCATATACATTCTCTACTCTTTGAGAGAGTTTTTCATATTTTATCAATCAAATTTGAGTTGTAAAAGAGTGAGGTTTACTCTTGGGTTTGTGGGAAGCAATAATGAGAAAAAGTAAGTCTAGTGGTGAGACAAAGCTTTCAATTGCACTTTGTGAAGCAATTATATGTAAAAGTTTGATAACACTTAAGAGGAAAGCTTTGTGTTGGATTTGCTTGGTCGAGTGATCAACCAAGGGAGATAGTGAAATACTCTAAGGGGGAAAGCTTGGAGAAGTGGACATAGGCTGGGTTTAAGCGACACCACTATATATCGCTTGTGTTTGCATCTCTCTTCCTTCTCTCTTTATTTTGCACAGCTTACTTTATACTTGTTCATACTTGCTTGCACACTCACATATTGCACTAGAAGAGACCTAAGTCACAAATTGTTCAAATTTGCTCATATAGCTGAAAAATGACCTTAGGTGCTTTAAAGGTATAATTCACCCCCTTAAGACCATTTTGATCCTCACTAATGATATATAGGTTTCTATCTTTTTTAGACCTAGAGGAGTTTTATTATTTAATTAAAATTGAGGAGTTCATAAATTTTAAGATACATTTATATATGGACAACCTATTTAGTACCCCTTGATTATCCAAAATTACCATTTGGTCTCTGTGTATCAAGATTACACAACCACCTCCTTTGCAGGCATGCAAATGTTTTTGGTGTTGTTGTTAAGCTAACTTTTGACTTAAAAAAGCATCAATGAAAATAAGTTTCTACAATATTAAGGACAATTTTTAAAAATTTCAAAAAAAATTTAAAGTTAATCTCAAAAATTCAAAAAAAAAAAAAAAAATTAGAAATTTCAAAACAATTAAAAAAAAATTATTTTAAATCTTTTTGAACTTGCAAGGTTTTTGATAATTTTTCTAAAAGTTTTATTATTTTTGCTTCTTTATATATAATATATATTTTTGCATTAAGATTAATCTCCAAAGTATGATAAAATAACACAAATCCGCTTGAAGTTTTTAAAATAACAAAAATTTCATTTGCTTTAAGATTTACGTGTTAAATAAATGGTTCACGACAATGATAAATATTATTAACTCCTAACAGTTTATTCTCATTTATGACTGGTCCAAATTGGGACAGATTTGCTTCAAATTTCAAGAATACCATAAAAAATGAAACATAATGCACTTTACTTAGGATGAAAAGCTCGAATATGTGAAATAGATGCAAATTATAGCACATGCACAAATACAAACAAAATTGTGATTACCAAGCAGGAAGTGACTCTATATTCCCAAGCTTCAAAATTTTATCAAGCATCAAAGCCATCATCAACAACCGGGTGAGAAAATAATAATAATAATACTTCATCGGTCATTAATATCTAAAGTAAGCATTTTCAAACTTCACTAAAACATGCCATAGAACATAAATATATCTGTCGGTGCAGGCACACACATAATTGTGTATGCAGAGTTCCTTTTTCCCATCCCGTTATAACATAAAACTAGACGAAACCACTAATGATCAGAACAACAGGATTGTATTGTAGCTCATGTAAAATTACCAATGATTAAAAAAAAAGGATTACACTTTAGCTCACAATTTAACTCCAATTCCCAAAATTTACGTTAACCCATTAAGATTGAAACAACCAGAATAAGGCTGTGATTCAGAACACCAAATAACATGACCACATAACATAACTAGCTTATCTCATTGAATCTCATGACCTAGAAATCAAAAACTTGAGTTAAAAACGGGGTCCCCTCAAACCCTACCATCATTGAAAATGTTAAACTCAAGTTGGAAACTTTGTCAAAGAATTTGATCATCAGATTAAAATATAAATTCAAGTAACCTGCACGAAGTAAATAGCCAAATTATCTATTGGTATACCCTAAACCAAACGTTTAAAATTCCAATACATAATTCAATAATACTAAAATTCCTTAAAATTAAATCCAATTAACAATCAAATAAAGCAACCCAGAAAATTAATAGCCGGAGAAACAAGAACCGAAAACAAACCCACATCAATCTCGTGATAAAAAAATGAATGAATGTTAAAAACCGCTAATACCCATCACTCAATTACACAAAAGAAACGAAACCCAGTACAGGAAAAGTTACAAAACATGAAAATTAATGAAACCCATGAAAAGAAACGGCGAAAACGACAAGATCAAGAGATGAAACTAAAAAAGGTAAGGGATTGAAGAAACTGACCCACGACACTAGATCCTCCTGAGCCAAGCGTCATGGGTGTGTTCGGATGGATGGTTAGCAGAGATCTGAGGGAGAGAAAGGGAAGTCAAGAGGGAGAGAATCTATGAGAAAATAAAGAAAAAGATGAGAATAAAGAGGAAATTTTGAGGGCAAGCGAGAGGAGAGAATGAATAATATAAAGATATTTGATTATGGAGTAATTTTCATGAAGCCCCTAAACTTTAGTTTAACTTATAGACATCCCTGTAGTTACAATATTCACCTAAGATACATTTAAACTTTAAATCCGTCGATTAAGGGTGACAAATGACCTCTCCCCTTATGGTCGGATGACAAATCCTTTACTCATTGGCCTTAGCCAATATTTTAATAACCACTCGGGGTGAAACCCATCAAAGTTGTCAGGTCTTGGGTTGACCAGTTTAATCAGTTTGACCGATCAGTCAAACCGAGTGTTAAAAAATTTAAAATTTAGCAAATACACTCCTAAATATTACGTTAAGTTTCTACATGTTTAAAATTTAGCAAACACACCCCAAATGCATATCTGCAGTCAACCAGTCGGTGGCATCGACACACCGTATGCAATCACAATCATCCCTTGAGCCATTCCTCAGAAAATCTATCTAAAATTTAGCCATCGTCGGTGACTCAGCTCGACAACCCAAGCTATATCTCACTACCGCCAACGTCGACAACCCTCCCAATCACCATGAAAATACTCCACTTGGCCTTCTGACCAAAATCCATCGCACCCCACTCCCATTGACCTTGCCAATTGACAGTAAAAGTCGGCTGTTGTCACCATAGGTTTTTTTAATTCCAATCGATTCACTCACTAGAAATCACCTCTATTGCCACCATTGCACTCACCAATCATTCCTCTTCAAAACCCACAACATCCCAACCTTCAATTGTTCACTTATTATTATCCCAGTTTTTAGGATTTTTTGTGAATAGGAAAATTGGTAACCTGACCTAGTGAAAGCCCTGGGTCCTAATTGACTCGGTTGAACCGGCCAGGCTGAGATGGGTTTTAAAACATTGACTTTAACTATATTCAAAAGATCTTGTGTTCGAGTCGCTAAGAGGTATACTTACTATATTTGTGCAATTATTTTGATCCAATATGACACAAGGTTTGCGTGTCAAATACTTCTTGTGCCTTAGAATGAGCAAAACAATCTTTTGGATCAAGCATTTGAAAATGAATTGGGCGAAATGAGTGTTGGGCTCGGACCAGATGTGACACAAAACAAGTTTGCGTGTCAAATTCTTCTTGCGTTGAATAATAAATAATGAAATTTTAGTTAATTCAAATACAACCTATTTAATCATTCGTGTCGGAGGTGTCAACGTGAATACAGCATTGTCATTTAATAGGTGACACAAATATGATTCGTATAACTCGTTTAATAAACAAATCAGATTCATGAATCAATTTGCTTAATTGTTTATGATATGTTTAACCCATGTAACCTGTTCCTGACATGTATAGAGATATTTTATTATGGGTAATTTCACTAAGGTCTCTAAACTTCAATCTAAATAATAAACATCCCTATAGTTTCAATACTCATCTAAATATGTTTAAATATGTGGATTAGTGTCAAAAAAACGAGTTGTGGCGAATTTATGTCATGTCAAACAAGAAGAAATTAAATTCTAGTTAATTTAGATTCGACCCATTTAATTGATGTAACAGAACATGATGAACAACCGATATACTCTAGTGTAATGACTTCAATCTAATAATCCACAACGAAAATAACTCCAAAAGGCACTATTGTGAAATTTTATTAATAAGTCATTGCTACTTGTTTGTAGGATAATAAACTTATATCTAATAAACTAATCCTAATAGTACTATTATAGAGGTGTCGAGGAGGATGCAACATGATTATTTGATGGGTGACACAAATATGACCCGCATGTAACAATCAGGTCATATTCATGTCGCAACTTGACTAAGTCCACTTAACTTTGTGACACTTTAAGCTATTTAACTCATTGATACACATTTTACCCATTTAACTAGTTTATGATATGTTTAGCTTATTTAATCCATTTATAGCTTATTTATTAATAATATCTTAAATTTAGGTTCCGTTTGGTTCACTATTTTGAGAGTTTTTAGAATAGTTTTTTGAAAAAAGTTAAGTTGAGTATTATTCTGAGAAGTTTTTTATACATTTTTTAAAAACATTTTCTGAAAATATTTAGATTATTTTTAATCATTTAGGTTTGTTCATTTAACTAAACACCCCAATAATAAAAGTTTATAAATTGACAAAAAACACCCACATTTGCTAGATTCCGGCCACCTTCTGACAGTGGTGAACGGAAAAGGTGGCTGGGATCTGGCAAATGTGAGTGGGTGGGAGTGTTTTTGTTAATTTATAAACTTTTATTGTTAGAGGTATTTAGTTAAATTAATAAACCTAAAGGGTTAAAAATAATCTAAATATTTTAAGTTGAATAGAATAATATTGTATTTTAAAGAGAATTTTGAATATTAAAATAAATATGTTTTTGGATAGGATTAGATAGAATAATAAAATAAGATATGATTAAAATGTTGTACCAAAGGGGCCTTAATTATGTTATAGGTTGGTTACACAACTCATTCAATTAGTCATGTCAATGAACGAGTTTGCAAGTTGAATTCCCTCGACCCTCAACCAATCATGACACTATTAAGAACCGACTTGATTTCGCCAATGAAATATGACACAAATAAGATTAAAAATTAATGATAATCCATTTAAACTATATCAAACTTGTGTTTTTGTCAAAAATTATCACCCCTCACACATACACAATATTTCATTAACTTTTTTGTTTTACTAAAGCACCGCCATCAACTCAATATTGCATCACAAAATAAACATTATTTTTATTCGAGAAATTATATTAAGTGACCCTTTTTTTGTGTGTGTGATTTGAGAAATAGCTCATTTGTTAAAGTCTCTAAAAAAAAATAGCCCTACTTCAAAAGTTCAACACTAGTTAGACCAAATTACCCTTTCTTAATTAAAAACCTAAAGTGATTGATCTAATACCCACCTATATAACTTGATCGAGTATGTATCGGTCAACGATAAAATGGGTAGAGTTTGTTTTGTTTTAGGACTCTATCTATATCAGTTTCTATCGGTAATCGATAGTCTTCGATAGGGTTTGTATCTGTCTTTATCAGATAGAGTCTTGAAACAAAACAAACTATATCTGATATTAGTTTCTATTAGTGATCGATAGGTGCTTATTCATTTTTCTATTTGTTGACCCATAGATGCATACTGGTTCGATATAGGTCACTTTGGCTTTTTAGGTTAAGGGTATTTTGGTCCAACGAATGCTAAAAATTTGGAGTATGGCTATTTCTTGAGATACTTTGAAAAACAAGCTATGTTTCAATCGACTCCCAAAAAATAGGTTATCTAATATGATGTTCCTTTTCTTTAGATGTTTATATTTTTTTTATTCAACAGTTGAGAACTTGAGATCGTACTTCAATTTTCTACTTAAACCGTTGACACAAAATTTAAACGGTTGATCTATTACAATTCAATGGCTTAAGAGTTGATGAGATGACAATGAAAATAATCATCTTCAACTTCCATCTCATATCCGTTAGATTGCAATAAATCAATAACCACAAATTTCTGTTCCAATTTAAATCATGAATTTAAGTTAAAAAATCTCATCCCTTTATTTAAAATGTTATATAAATTTTCATTTTAAGATTTGACGTGTGAAAAGATAAATTTAAACTAAAATAACATATATACATGAGGAAATAATGCCTAATGATAAGTTGATGTAATAAGTAATAAGATAAAGATGTATAAAATGACTCAATTTTAGGTCAAAATGTTTGCTATGGTTTTAAAATTATAGGGAAATTTGTTTAGAGCTAAAAGTAAGAGATGTTAGTAAAATTATTCTTTAGATTTATTTGGAAAAGGAGTGATGGTTGATGGGTAGACCGTAGACTTTTTATGAACAAAGTGGATTTTTTTTTTTTTTTTTTTTTTTTTTTAAAGGGAATGGATAGCCTTGGGAGTTTGGGCCCCACAGCATAATTCAAATTGGATATGTTAACATCCTCATAAAAACCAAAAAGAAAAAAAAAAAAAAAAAAAAAAAGAAGTTAAGAATAAATTTTATAATAAGAATTTTCAAATTAATTGACAAATTTGTACACTGCGAACTAGCCCTAGGCGATCGAGTGGTTGGATAAAAACGCTTGGATTTATTACTCAAGAGGTATTGAATTCGAGTTACTTAAGTTGTTAGTAGGGATAATCACTAGAAGGTTTACTCGGTCGTTAACTTTAGGATCCCGAGGGATTGGTCTAGGTGCACGTAAACTGGTCTGAACACCCTTGGTCATAAAAAAAAAAAAAAAAGTATAACTATGATATCACAAGATATCATCAATTTCACAAACTACTACATATTGTTACATAAATTCATTTCTATCATGATTGACATTATTCTATATTATGCTCAAATATTCAACATTAATTAATTACAGTAAAACCTCTCTATAGGCATAATGGTGAGACTAACTAATTTTATTATACTAAGAATATTATAACTTAATAGAGATATAGTTATAAAAATTTCTTATTCATATTTTAGTAGTACAATATTAAGATTTTAATTCATGTTTTAATATTATTAGAGTTTCAATTGCCTACTTTTGAAATGTATAGAACATCGTGTCTTGGAACCAGCAAAGATAAGTGTACTTGACGGAATTGTAAATACAATTGTTGCATGGGCAATGGATGTGAAACCACAAACAATTGCCAATTCTTTTAAGCATTTCAAAATTAGGACCACCGATGTTGATGAATTACAAATTACAAATAAAGTAGATGAAGAGAGTCAAAGAGCCGTTGTAGAATTAAGTGATCAAATTTGACAACTTCACTGCACTAATCGAATGGATATTAATGTCTTCTTCAATTATTCAAATGAGCAACAAGTCATGCATGCTTTAACTGAAGAATAAATCATTGTTACAACTTACAGTTAGACAAGAAGAGAAAAGAAATAATCATGAGGATGATGGTACGGAAATACAAAAAGTTTCGTGTCAAGAAACTCTAAACATATTTGAGAAGCTATAAATATTTTGGCTTCAACAA